GGAGCTGCTGGGGCAGTCACAGGGGCCTGGGGACATGCCAGGGTGGTGGCAAAGCACCGATACTAACCATGGGACTGTGACACTGCACCAGGAAGGCCTGCCCTCATCTTTCCACCCAGCAAGCCTGGGAAATCAGTGTGGCACTGCCAGGGCAGGGGTGACGTGGGTGGCTCCTGGGGCTGCTCCTGGCCATGCAACGCCAGGATGTCCTCACCCAGCTCACCCCTAAATGAGAGCAGGCACCAAGTGAGCAAAGACTCCCTCCAGAGTCTACAGGAGGGTGTGTGCCCTCTGGGCATGCCAGTGGCTCTGGCTGGCTGAGCCGCTGTAAAACCTCCTCATTCTTCAGGGTGCATCATTATGGTGCATTGTAAGCCCCAAATCCTGCCTCGCCGCAGCCTCCAGCACCCTGGCTGCTTGCCTTGCCTGGCCCAGCAAAGCCTGACCATCTTAGGTTTTGGTGAAAATCTGAGTCTAATACAGCAGGCTGCTGCTTCTTTCACTCACCTTTTATCACTTCTTTGCTGTTCCTTCCCTGAGAGCATCAAAAAAGCTGAGCTTTTGTGCTATTTGGTTCAGCAAAGCAAAGGGTTAGGGCTGCAGCCACATCACAGCCCGCCCTTCCCCTTACATCAGTCAGAAGGAGGAGAGCCTCTCCCTCCCTAAAGATGCACACATAAGACACACACGCAGGCACACGCTGGGTTGGTGTGAAAAAAAGCAGGGCTGAGGGTGGGTTAATGTGTGCAGGAGCTTGCACCTGCCAGCCGAGATAGGATTTATTTAGGGAGCAGAGTGCTTACGGCTGAAACCTGCTTCTTCACAGCACAGGCAGTTCATGGCTCTTTCCAAAACCAACCCTGGCTATGGTGATGACGACCTTTTTTAAAAGCTGGTTTTTGTGCCAGCCCGTTTATCTGCATCACTTGCTCGGGACAGATGTGGGATAATAAAAACGATAAGCTATGTGATGCACTACATTCAATGGCCCAACAGATACATATCAACTACTTTTTAATCATTGTAAGAAGAGCATGAAACCTCCTATCACACAGGACTTCAGTTGTGCTGCAGAAAAACAGCCGAGTGTGTTTTACACCTGCAGATTTATTCTCGTACAAAAGGTTAAAGGCAAAGCTAGAAAAATGAACCTATCGGTACATGCTCACTGAACACTTCTAAGACAAGATAGGGAAGTAAAGCTTTTATTGCTAAGAACCACCAATGGAAGGCTTTAAAGCTCATCTAGCATTCAATTTTTGTTTGTAAGTAATCCACTTTAAAGCAGCTTTTCAGTTTTCAAAACCCTCTTGCCTTTCTGGAATGCTTCAAAAGGAAGATGACCTGAGGACGGTGTCTGCTCTCCAGAGGGACCAGATGGAGGCTCTGGGTGAGGTGCAGAAGTGGCCCACTGAGGAACGCCAAAACGAAACCCAACTGCCTGGCTGCGGGCTCCTGCTGATCATCAGACAAGGCAAGGCTGTACAGCGCCCGGGGAGCAGCACCCTGCCACGTACAGAAGCAGCGGTTCCCTGATGGCCCTGCAGCTGTCCCCATGTCCCAGGGGCTGCGGCACAGACGGGCACCTGAACTTGCCCCAAGCAGAGCCAGGAGCTGAGACTGGGCACAGTGCCTGTGGATATCCTGCTCCAACTACCAGGCTGCACCTCCTCCTGGAGGGGTGAGGCTCCAGGCAGTGGGATACTGAACGTTCTTGGGATCCTTAGGGAACCCCCTGTGATGCAACAGAGCCGGGCTGGCCACCTTTCCTGAGTGACCACTGGTGCAGCCGCTGTGGCTTTCGGAGCTTGCCGCAGTCAGAGCTGCTCCCGGGCGGTGGGTGCCCTAGTCTTCAGGGATGGGGGTGTTGCAGTTCCCGTGGTAAATTTTGACCTCACCCTCACACTGGAAGTACTGGTCAAACACGTCGCTGTATCCATGGTCCCTCCACCACGTGCAAAGCTGCCGGTTCCACGTGCAGTCAAGCACATGGAAGAGCTCTGGGTGCTCCATCCCCACCATGGTGAAGAAATCCTGGTCCCCAAGGTGACCCTTGAAGTGGTACTTCTCCGTCAGCTTCTGCACCAGGGTAGGCTCCAGCAGCTGGTTGTAGAGCTTGGACTGCCTCATGGCTTCCAGGTTGAGGAGCAGGACACCGCTGTTGAAGCCGGGGAGCCCATCAGGAGGGGGCTCCCCCACTTTGGTTTGGGGATTCTCGCGGCGATACTGCCAGAACGTGTGTCTGCAAAGAGAGGAAAAACAGGAACAGGGGAGTCAGGGAGTGCAGCCCTAAGAGCAGCCACTGCAAGTCTGGGCAGGTCTGGATCACAACTCAGGATCTACCACCCAGCCCAAGGGATCTCGCAGTGCTTGTCTTCTCCTTCCCAAAGGAGCCCAGTGCTTCACGGGCGGCATCTCTCTCCATCCCCCTGCACAGGATATTGCCCAGACCTCAGACCACTCTTCTTGCTCTCTTGCAAAGCCTCTTTTGTTTCTACCAGCATTGCCCTGATGAACGATGGACACAGGATCTCCTGACTGCTCACATGAAACCACATCTGAGGGCGAACCACCAGAACTGTCCTCACGGCTGGTACGTGCTAGGAAAATGTCCTGCATTTAATGGGATCTCAGCAGCAGAACTTGCAACATCATTAGAATTTGATTATGGGGAAGCTCCAAAGATGGGTCCCAGTTTGAGGATGTGCAAAAAGAAGGCCTGAATTAAATCCGAGCGGCAGAAATACTTATTCAAAACAAAAATAAAAAAAGAAATACAAGGACAACATCTCATTAGCTAAACAAGCACTGCCTTCAGCCCTAGCTGCTGTAGCAGTTCTGGCAGACGTGATCTTCACCAGCTAATTTCCATCTGCCAAGGAGAAGAGAGCAGTGTAAGTCTAGCAATACACAAAACTAACTCCAGAGGCTGATTCAAATGGGGAAAAGTCAGACTACCTGAGCAAGCAGCCCAAAAATGTCTCTGGCTCCTTCCTCAGCCCTGGGGCAGTGAGCACACCTCACCACATACACCCCAGCTGCTCCCACCTGCAGGAATTGAACTCATCCTGTGCTATTACCCGAGGAGTTGGGGTTGAATCTGCCACCTAAAAATTGCTCCCGTTCAGACTGAAAGTCTTCTGCCCCCAAACAGCATCCTCTGCTGCAAAGCAGCTGAGAGCTGGCAGACCCTGCAGTTGGGAGGAGGGCAGCAGGGACCTGTGTCCCTGACTCCACCGTCTGACAGCCCAGCGAGCACTGCACTCTCCTTCCAGCCCTGACACTTAAGGTCTTGTTTGTGGTGGGGTTTTTTCCACCTTGCTGTGAAGAGGTCAGGGAGAAACAGTTAGAAAGAATAAATCAAGCCTGCTGCTGGTTCCTCTCTGAACCCATCAGACACTGACCAAAGTCTCCATGCACCTTCTAGGAAAGAAGTTGTTGTAGATGGTGCAGATTTAGCACCCAAAGGTTTAAAGTAGTCCCATCCTTGGAAGCTGAATCTGGGCTAACAGAGATCTAAAAAGATGCAGGGACATTAGTCCCTGGGACACCACCAGAGTCATGGTAGATATTCCCCTAGTGCAAACATTTAAGTTGAATTTTTTCTTGTAAGAAGCCATGTTCAGCTCCAACAGGCTCAGGGAATCCTACAGCTTGTACAGAGATCAGACTATTAAATCCATGCTTCTGGCCTGTCCTCTGGCTCCCCAGCACAGCACTGTGAGACTGGACAAGGCGAGAGCTCGGGTTCAACAGCCACCAGCAGAATTACCCCAGCAGAACATGTGGATATATTAATGTCAACTGTGAGAACCTTTTTATTTCCTGATCCAGAGAACCAAAACCATCACACAGCATCGCTTCATCACAGCTTTACATTTAGATTCTTTAGATTCAAACCTCTGATATTTCTCATTTCATTAAGGGTCTTTACACTGCTCCCTTTCACCTGCTTCAGGACAGAAAGGGTTTATCCAAGTGCCAGTTTTCACATGGAAGGAGGGCTCAGTTTTTGAGCACCATCTCCAACGCCTCCTGGGGAAGGGGAGCGGAGGACCGGCTGCCTCATCAGAGCCTGCAGGCAGCAGTGCTCGTTTGATCTAAAGGGCAGGGAAGGAACAAAAAGGCTCTGCCTCTGCAAAGAGCAGTTATGTCTTGGGGTCAAGCACCAGGCCACCACAAAGGTGACTCGTGAATACTCATGAGGAAAGGAAGGCAAAGTGCCCTCTGTGCAGCATTACGGGGAAGCTCAACCTGCAATGACCAGAGCCAGCCTTGCACTGATCAGCCCTCCCAAGTGTTCAGATCCAGGGGCCTGGCTCAGTCCAGAGACTGGCTCAAGCTCACCTCTGCACACTCTGCTCTCCCTGCTGTTCTCCAGAAGTGCCAGGAAAGCCATCCCTGTGCCCCAAAACTGATGCTGGAGCCAGCAGGAGGGAGAGGGGGAACAGTGCCATGGAAGAAGGCACCCTTCCAGCTCCACAGCCATGGAGCTGACTCCTTTCACAGTTCTTACCTCCAAACATGCTGCTCAAGGTAAGGGACGAGATTACAGGCCCTGCAAGCAGCTAGAATAGGAAAACCCAAGTGCCCAAGCCTCAGCATCACCACACCACACTGAGGCAAAAGCAGAGCTGTATGAAATGACACAACTTTTCAGCAATGCCATTCCCCAGCGGATTACTTGCTGATGGCTGATAAGGAGAAGTGAGCAACGTGCCCTTTTCTGCAGGGAGAGGAGACAGACCGACAAGCAGTGATTGTCCAGCCCTTCCTCCTGGTGCTGGCGTGACGGGGCCATCCTCTCCCGGCCACGCGTGGGGACCGCAGGGGAGCGGGGCAGGGCCATCCCTAGGGAGTGATGCTGGGGCCAGATCCAGGATGCGACGAGCTGTGGGTGGCTCGGGAACCCGCTTGCAGCACAGCACCGCAGCCTTTCCAGTGCTGGGCTCAGGCCAACCAAGGGAAAGGTATTCTGGCAGGGCTGCTGGCAGCATCTGTTCAGCCTGGATTTCACTTGGCTTTTGTCCTACTAATGGAGGGTTTTGGTGTTGTCCTTCTGCAGGGGCCAGGACAGAGAAGAGCATGTCTGAAAGGCAGCCCCACCCAGCTGGAAGTGGAAGGAGCGGCGGGTGTGAGAGCATAAGTTTCTTTGGAGGAGAAGAGCCTGGGGAAGCAGAGCAACCAGCCAAGCAGCTAACCCAGCCTGCGCCCCAGACCGCTCTGTCCTGCCCGACATCACCCCTTGGCACCCACCTCAAAATTTGGCAAAGCATGTTGGGAAAATCCCATGGGCTTGATCAGCATGCTGCCAGGGTGCAGGGACAGGGTCCTGGGGGTGCAGCTCTCCCCCAGACAACCATTACGGAACAGAACCTTGACTAGATGCAATGGAAATGTCTCCCTGTCCCAAGCCT